TTTATCCAAGCAAAGAGGACCCAGGGATCCTGGCTCCTCCCATCCTTGCTCAGCTCTCTTCCTTCTCAACCTCGATTCAGCTGGATGAGATTGTTTTGTTTCTAAGCAGTATCAGGACATCCAAACATTTAACACCCATATGTTCCCACTCAAAGTAGATGGACTACATTCAAAAACTGAGAAGGTGGAAGAGATTGAATCCTTCCCATTTCAAGGAAACCAAGAAATTCACCCTCGCCAGACTTCTGATGGGTCTCCCCTGCACAAGGAACATCCAGATCTCATTTGAGGAGCTGCGTAAGTACGGATCATTCACAATTTAGTCCTGCAGCTCTGCAATCTCATGTATGGCCAACACAGTTGAAAAAGATAACCGAGAAGCAGATGGAAACTAGGCTCATTCAGCAACAACCCAGAAAGACCTCCTGACTAGTCTCCTGGGGAACAGCAGAGTCCTGTCAAGGGCTATTTACCACTCAGGGTCTCACTCATCCCTTATGCTTCCCTTCCGCTGAACCTTCGGTCTTCCAGAGCGCCAGTCCTCCAGGGCATGGGTCCTGTCTATTCTGGGACCGTACAGAAAACTGAGACCTCTAGGATCCCAGCATATGACTAATGCTCTCCACTGATACAGGTAGTAAAACATTGACTGTACAGCTCTGTAGTCTCTACTTCATTCACCAACAGAAATACAGAGAGCCAAAAAGCTTTCGCAGTAGTTTCACTTCTCCATGACTACTTCTACTGCCATTCCCGAACCAGAACACAGTGGCCTTGTAAGCAGCACACTAGGATGATCCCAGCATCCTTTTTTGCCCACCACATGATGGATTCAATAGCCCTGAAAGGGAGATAAGAGTTCCAAGTACGTGGGTTGAGTAATCAGTATTCGCATAACTCAAGACCACCATCTGTTTGTGGGGAGCTTACAGCAGGAAGGAAGAGATCTCTAAAAATCACCGATCTGGCATTCACACACTCCCTTTGGAGAGCAGACGCTGAAGCTGGTCCACAAAGATGCTCCTGAACATGCTCTAAACAGGCCCTGGAGTGCTGACTCACCTGCCTCATGAGCTCCGGGTTATTCAGCATGTGGCTTATCTCTGGATTTCGCTCCATGAGCTGCTGCATCTGGGGATTGGCCATGATCATCTGTCTCATGAGGTCGGGGTTAGACATCATGTTCTGCACCAAGGGATTCTCCATGATCTGAGAAAGCATCTCCGGGTTGGACATCAGCTGCCGCTGCATCTGCTGCTGGAGCTCCATGAAGTTGGCAGAGCCCATCCCAAGGTTGCCCAGCCCAGTGATGCCGCCAAAGCCAGCTGGAGAGGGAACAACACACGGGGAGAGAAGCGTGAACCAGTAACTGTCGGCAGCTCCAAAAAGGGGACAAGCACATCAGCTGAACTCCACCCACACTGATCTGGGGGGGTCCTATATTCCTATGGCAGCCAGCTCTGCAGGAGGACACCCCCTACACATGCTTCACTAAGAGCTTTGGCACTATCCTGAGCAGGGAAACCGAGGTATGCTGGTGGAAGCGACTCGTGCAAAGCCTACAGCAAGCAGAGACAACTGCAGGGGTCAAGAACCCAACTCCTTGGCCTAATCCTAGGACATTCTTCTTCTGTGGCACGCCTTCTCACAGCCATCACTTACACAGGATGGATGTAGCACTGTTGGGGCCTCCGTCTCCAGGACCTCCCATGGTCCCTGACCCACTGCTCCGTCTGCTGCCGCTCCCTGTGTCAGAAACGGTGCTGCTGGATGTGGAAGGCTGAGACGGGGCAGCAGGAGAAGAAGGGGTTGCAGTGGGGGCAGAAGCAGCATTGGGGGCAGAAGCAGCAGATGTTGAATCTTGGACCCTGCAAAGAAAGAAAAGGTGGCATTAAACTCCTGAGACTCGGGAAGAGTGAGCACAGCCCTTTGTGGGGGACACAGGACGGGGCACCCCACGCTGACCGAGCCTCCCTTCGTGCCTGTTGTCCCCAGCCAGCCCTGGCTGCTTCCTTTCCTGCCTGCACGGATGCACAGCTGTGCTCCCAGATGCCTTCCATCTGCCGGAATCTGCCTCCCACCCTGATGCATAACAGCCCCTGACATTTTCTCCTGGCCCACACGAAGTGGCTTGACTGGTCTTACCCCGAGTTGTATCTAGCTCTTCCTTGAATCGCGCTGAACTATTTACCTCAGCTATATCCTTGAGCAATGAGTTTGCTCCAAACAGGAAAATCCTCCTGCTGCTCCCACAGAAACCACAGGAGGTTACAGCAGGGCTAGTGCAAGGGGTAAACAAGAATTTGCTTTTCTGCAAATCCCCCTGTGCACTGAGTATTCCTATCGGTGCTCCTGGTGGCAAAAATAAGTATCAGCATTACTCTACAGATGGGGAAACTGAGGCACAAGGCAGCTAGCATCTGTCCCGTGAAGCTACAGAACGCTTCTGGCCAGCTTGACTATGAATTTACGTCTCTGCTGCTGGCTGTACCTTGCACGCAAGGCTTCTCTGGCCAACACAAGTTGACTAGAGCTTCTTTTAGTACACACATGCAAACACTGTGCCACAAGCCACAGCACAGCAGATGCTGGACATCAGCTTTATTGAGTAAACCAACCCAAGCTAGTACTTTGTAATCACAGTTCCTCCTCAGGATTTTTATAGGCATTCGAAAGAGAACATTTAAAGATTCTCTGAAGCATCCGCAGTCATGACAGTGAGTCCTGGACCAGAGCTGAAGAGCTTTCCCATGAAATTTAAACCACAAAATTCACTTTACTCACCCCATATAATGCTATTACACCAACAACAAGTAAATAAGAACAATGGTTGGTTTCCCCCCAACCAAGAATGATTCCTTTCTCCAACTCTTTCCTTTTTCCACTCTTATTCTAGGGCTTTAAAAATCCAACCTGAAGGTCCTCGTTCACTTGTCAGACTCACCTGACTGCTGCCGAAAACCAGCAGCCACCGAGAGTAAGGCAGAGAGAAAGGAAACAAAGCAAATAGGAAGCTGAACAAAAAAGGAAGGAGGAAGCTGGAGAAAGGTCACTTGGTTTCTCTCAGCACAGGAAGAGGCTGTAAGGTCTTCAACAAGCACTTATCTGTGACTATTAGTGGGGTAAAAAAAAAAAAAAGAGCAACCCAGGACAGCACTCTCGTTTACCCTTTGGAACGGTTCACAAGGACTGCTGTTTGCTGTGGAGACAGCGGTAAACAGCACCAGCCCACCAGGCTACCTGGCGACACAGAATCCAGAGAGCGGCCTCTGCAGAAGCTGACAACACAAATGCTTGTCTTTGGGAAAAACAGTGGGGGGGAAAAAGCACTAATCTTGACTAAGCCAGTAAGGCAGCTCTCCCAGGGGACAGCAGCAGAGACGCAGCCCCGTCAGCTCACCGGGAGCCCGCTCAGACTGCAGCGGGGAGCCCAAGAAACGGCTGCGGAGCGGGGTTTGAGCTCAACAAGATGTGGCTGCGCCTGAAGTACAGCAACTGTTCCCAAGAACTTTCTGCGCCCACTGGATCTCGCCGGGAAAAGCCTCGCTCTGCAGGACCTGGCGGTCAATCCCGCGTCCCTTTTGCGGGCTGACCAGGGGCTACCACGGGGTGCTCCTGCAGTAGCTGAGCTAACAACCGCACCGCTGCGTGCCCGCGGCCAAACGGCCCGAGCCTCTGTCCATCCCCACCGAGGCGGAGCACCCACCTGCCCGCGCAGACGTGCCTACAGGTACCACACAGCAACGCCGTACGCAGAGTGCTCTGCACACACGGCGTGCCTCCCGCGGCACCTGAGAGAGCGTGAGCGCAGGTGTAGAGCACAACATAGGGCAGGAAGCGAAAGAAAAGCCGGGTATTAGTTTCAACTTCAACACCAACTGACTGGGAAAGTAATTTCTGTGAACAGCAACTTATCTCTGTTAGAACCAGTATCACGTTCCAACGGGTTCTTTCAAGATTACTAAATTATAAAAGCTCAAAATATGCAAAGCCACACAGACAAGTTGTGTTGAAAAAAGAGTGAACCCCTTCAGGTACTTGCCACGACCTTACACAGCTGTGTAACCTAGGGAAAAGGCAGGCCGAGTGACAGACCCCACCGCTGCGTGGCAAAGCTGGGGCAGGGAGAGTTCTGCCGGATCACCGCTGCCAGACTCGTACGCGCCCCAGAGCCAGCACCGAGGCCTCACAGCAGTCGCCGGGAGGGCAGAAATGCCCCATCATCGTTTCTTCGCATCATCCATTTACCCTCAGCCCACCAACCCAAAACAGTTTCTTACTTCTGGGGAGTCTTAATGACCAAGTGTACAGTCAGCCCATCTTTGATCCCGTGTTGATTCAACGTGTCTCCATCCTTCAGGATCTTCCCAGCAAAGATCAGAACCAGCTGATCCTGTTTGGCTTTAAACCGCCTGGAAATCTCTTCTTTGAACTGAAAAACAAACAAAGCATTTTTCAGGCAAAGGACCGAGACCAGAAATTTAAAGCTACTACTCCAGGTATCGTATCCACCACGCAAACAGCGTAAGGAACCGGCGGTCCTTCAGTACCTCACCCAGAAGGAGCCCATGCAGGTACCAATTCAGTCACCAGCTGCTGAGGATGTCTGAGGCATTAAAAAAAAACAACCAACCAACCAACACCAACGACAAGCTCTACACTTACAAAATGCAGAGTAAATTTCAGAAAGAATAGAGCGGTTACCTCAGGATGAGCTGAAGGCTTCCAAAGCAAGATCAAGTGTGTCTCTTAGGTCTAATCCAAATACACCATTTATCCTCTGAATGACTGAACTTATTCAGTCTCTGCTCATTTGATTTTTAGTTTTTTTTCCTAGGGAAAGCCCAACTCTGATTTAATACAGGACAGAGCTCTATGGAAAAGGGAACAATCCTTTATCAGCCAATGGAAATAAACTAGGTCTTCTCCAATTCCTATTTCTGCAGCTGAATTCCCTGTGAGCACGCCACGCAACACAGACACCTCTTCTTTCCTGCACGATGGGGTGGGATTAACACCTGCCAATAAGATTGTCATTGCGAGCACAGCTGGGGCATTCCCAGATTGATTTTAGCTGGGGCATTCCCAGATGTATTTTCAAGGAAAAAAAGCCTTGCATTTGGAAGCCACAAACTGCAGGAAATTCAGAGGGGAAAGGCCAGGATGTAAAGAGCAGCACACACCTGTCCCAGGGCTCGCAGCCTTCGCACCACAGCCCTCAAAAACAACGCCCAGGAGAGCGCAGCCCCGAGCCCCAGGTCCTCCCTGTCACAAAGCTCCATGCTCTCCTCTGCACAAAGCCATCGTTTAACCGCCCGCTTCCAGTGACGGGCTCTCCGAAGCCAACCGGGAAGGAGCAGCAGGGCCACGCGTCCTACAGCCCCTGCCCGCCCCACGACTCCGCTCCCCAGAGATCTCCACCAGGTCCTTCGCACTGCAACCTCGTGCCCTACACCCCAGCTCGCAGCAAGGCAAGAAGCCGAGAGCCGTGCCGACGACACCTTGCCCCAGTGGGCACGGCCACTTCCACAGCGCTTGAGGCGGTCCTTGCACCTTCCAGCCCCTTCTCTCTTGCCCCATGCCCTGTGAAGTTCCCTTGCAGGGGCAGACTGCCTGCAGCCCACACATGGGCTGATGTTCTCCATTCTCTGCTCCATCCAACCTTCATCCCCCCAAAGACTCACCCAGCCCCTCTTCTCTCCCAAGAGGGATTTGTCTCCCGGGATCCATCCTGCAATGCCTCATTAACTGGATCCATGCTGCAGTCCTCTCATTAGCTGGATCCATCCTGCAATGCCTCATTAACTGGATCCATGCTGCAGTCCTCTCATTAGCTGGATCCATCCTGCAATGCCTCATTAACTGGATCCATGCTGCAGTCCTCTCATTAGCTGGATCCATCCTGCAATGCCTCATTAACTGGATCCATGCTGCAGTCCTCTCATTAGCTGGATCCATCCTGCAATGCCTCATTAACTGGATCCATGCTGCAGTCCTCTCATTAGCTGGATCCATCCTGCAATGCCTCATTAACTGGATCCATGCTGCAGTCCTCTCATTAGCTGGATCCATCCTGCAATGCCTCATTAACTGGATCCATGCTGCAGTCCTCTCATTAGCTGGATCCATCCTGCAATGCCTCATTAACTGGATCCATGCTGCAGTCCTCTCATTAGCTGGATCCATCCTGCAATGCCTCATTAACTGGATCCATGCTGCAGTCCTCTCATTAGCTGGATCCATCCTGCAATGCCTCATTAACTGGATCCATGCTGCAGTCCTCTCATTAGCTGGATCCATCCTGCAATGCCTCATTAACTGGATCCATGCTGCAGTCCTCTCATTAGCTGGATCCATCCTGCAATGCCTCATTAACTGGATCCATGCTGCAGTCCTCTCATTAGCTGGATCCATCCTGCAATGCCTCATTAACTGGATCCATGCTGCAGTCCTCTCATTAGCTGGATCCATCCTGCAATGCCTCATTAACTGGATCCATGCTGCAGTCCTCTCATTAGCTGGATCCATCCTGCAATGCCTCATTAACTGGATCCATGCTGCAGTCCTCTCATTAGCTGGATCCATCCTGCAATGCCTCATTAACTGGATCCATGCTGCAGTCCTCTCATTAGCTGGATCCATCCTGCAATGCCTCATTAACTGGATCCATGCTGCAGTCCTCTCATTAGCTGGATCCATCCTGCAATGCCTCATTAACTGGATCCATGCTGCAGTCCTCTCATTAGCTGGATCCATCCTGCAATGCCTCATTAACTGGATCCATGCTGCAGTCCTCTCATTAGCTGGATCCATCCTGCAATGCCTCATTAACTGGATCCATGCTGCAGTCCTCTCATTAGCTGGATCCATCCTGCAATGCCTCATTAACTGGATCCATGCTGCAGTCCTCTCATTAGCTGGATCCATCCTGCAATGCCTCATTAACTGGATCCATGCTGCAGTCCTCTCATTAGCTGGATCCATCCTGCAATGCCTCATTAACTGGATCCATGCTGCAGTCCCCTCATTAGCTGGATCCAGTCTGCAACCCCCTCATTAGCTGGCTGCAGCCTGGATCCCCCTCCTTAGCCGGATCCAGTCTGCACCACCCTCATTAACTGGATCCATGCTGCAGTCCTCTCATTAGCTGGATCCATCCTGCAATGCCTCATTAACTGGATCCATGCTGCAGTCCCCTCATTAGCTGGATCCAGTCTGCAACCCCCTCATTAGCTGGCTGCAGCCTGGATCCCCCTCATTACCCAGATCCAGTCTGCACCTCTCTCATTAACTGGATCCACGCTACAACCCCCCATTAGCTGGACCCATCCTGCAGGCCGCTCGTTAGCAGGATCCATCCTGTGTCCGCCTCATTAACTGGATTCATCCTGCAACCCCTTGTGAACTGGATCCATCCTGCAGCCCCCTCATTAGCTGGATCCATGCTGCAGCCCCTCATTAGCTGGATCCATCCTGCAACCCCTCATTAAGTGGATCCATCCTGTACCCCTCTCACTGGCTGGCTGCAGCCTGGATCCCCCTCATTAACAGGATCCATCCTGCACCCCCCTCATTATCCGGATCCATCCCGTACACCTCATTAGCCGGATCCATCCCATACCCCTCGTTAGCCGGATCCATCCCGTGCCCCCCGTTAGCCGGATCCATCCCGTACCCCTCATTAGCTGGATCCATCCCGCACCCCCTCATTAGCCAGATC